TGTTGATTTTTTTTTTTTTTTTTTTTTTTTTTTTTTTTAGAAATCTTAAGATATTTGGAATATCTCTCATTCAGATATCCAACCATGGTTGAAATAATTACCATTGGCCATAGTTACGAGGGATTACCAATTAAAATGGCCAAAATATCAACCGGACCTAAACGTGACGGTGAACCAAAACCTGCTATCTGGATTGACGCTGGTGAATATTTTTTACTTTTATATCTTTTTTATTATCACATATTAAAATATATATATATATATGTACTTTTTACTTCTTTATCCTGATATGTTTGAAATTTCAGGTATGCATGCCAGGGAATGGATCAGTATTGCTGTAGCGACATATATTTTAAGTCAATTGGTTGAAAGAAACTCGTCTTACTCGAAATTGTTAGATGTTACCGATTGGATGATCTTACCTGTTGCGAATCCAGATGGTTATGAGTATACACACACGCATGATCGTCTTTGGAGAAAAACCAGAAGTTATCACGGTGATCATAGTGCAAGGTAACAATTACATTTATTTTTCTTTTTAATATTTTATCGTGTGTTTATGCACATATGTGAATGATATTATTAAACTAATATGTGAATAATATATAAATGTATATTATTATTATATATATATATATATATATATATATAATATATTTATATATTATAAATTTTAGATATTCACCTTTAAAATTAATTTAATGTAATTTTTTTAACAAAATTTACATTTATTTTCTTTTCAATATTTTATGGTGTGTTTATGCATATGTGAATGATATTATATATATATATATATATATGTATTATTATTATATATATATATGTGAATAATATTCTATATATTTTTATAATATATTATAATATATTATATAATTGTTTATATTTTATAATATATTTATATATTATAAATATATAATATATCTTTCATATTATATTAATATCAATATATAATATAATTTTCATTAATATATTTTTCAAATGTTATTAATATGAAACATTTATCAAAAAAAGAAAATTCAATATTATTTTTCACATATTAGATATTTAATTTAAAATTTTAGATATTCACCTTTAAAATTAATTTAATGTAATTATTTTTAACAAAAATTACATTTATTTTCTTTTAAAAATATCTTATGGTGTGTTTATGCATACGTGTGAATTATATTACTTTATAATTGTATTATATATTATAATAATATATTTTTCATATTTTATTAATATGAAACATTTATCAAACAAAAAATTCAATATTATTTTTCACATATCAGATATTTTGTTCATTTAAATTTTTAGATATACACCATCAAGTTTATTTCATTTAATGTCACACTATACCAGATGGTTTTGGACAAAATGCGAAGGTGTAGATCCAAATCGTAATTTTGGATATCAATGGGGCGAACGTAACAATGGTGGAACAAGTTTAGATCCTTGTCATGAAACTTATGCTGGTCCTTATGCATTTTCAGAACCAGAAACCAAAGCAATTGCTGAATATATTATGGCTAATCGACAAAACATTAGGTATAATTATTTTCTAATTTTATTTTAGTTCCATTTCATTTGTTTCTTTTTTTTTTATAATAAAATCTAAACGTTGTTACATAAGTTTACGTATTTTATTGTTGATTAATTTTGTTTATTTTTGTAGAATGTATCTGACGTTACATTCATATGCACAAATGTGGTTATCACCATGGGCATATGTTAGAAATAATCCAGTTGATTATTCGGAATTAACAAGTGTAGCAAGAAGAGCTGTCAATGCAATAGCAAAAGTTCATGGTACAAGTTATCAAGCTGGTCCAGCAGCTGATCTTTTATATCCAACCTCAGGTATATCAATTTCTAATACAATAATAATAATACTAATCATAAGTTTAACATTTAAAAACTACAAAAAAAAGGAAAAAAAGAAACTCGTATCTTCTTTTACTTGGTTACTTTCGTTTATCGAATGATTATCGACACGTAAGATAATGATCAATTGGAAATTCCAATTAATAAAATGGAAAATAATTGTCTACAATGAGATGGTTGAGATAAGAATTTTAATCGATCGCACTTATCTTATTGATCAAAAAAAAAAAAAAAACAACAAAAATAGACCCATCTCAAAAAAAAAAAAAGAAAACATGGAATAAGATAACGTAAAGCAATTGAATTTAATTATAGATTCGAAAAAAAAATCTTTGAATTAAAGTATCAAAAAAAAAACGAAACGTTTCTTCTTTTTTTTCTCTTTTTTTCTTTTTTTCAATTGAATTTAATTACGGATTCGAAAAAAAATGAAAATCTTTGAGTTGAAATATCGAAAAAAAAGAAAAAAAAAAAGGAAGAAAATTATTTCTTTCTTTTCTTTCATTTGATTTCGAAAGATTCATTTTTTTTCTATTTTCTTTTTCTTTTTTTTTTAGGAGCTTCAGACGATTGGGCCAAAGTTACAGCTGGAATTAAATATGCTTACACGATTGAACTTAGGGATCGTGGTACTTATGGTTTTTTACTTCCTGCAACACAAATTGTACCAACTGGAAGAGAAATTTGGGCTGGAATACGAGCCATAGCTCGTCTAGTCACATGTAACACGTAACGCTAATCTAATTACGAGGATCTATTTATTAATTTTTTGATATTAAATAACAAATTGATATATCTTTAATACTTCAAGATAGATCAACGATAAATTTAGATAGAATTTATTTGAAGATTGCAAATGCCGTTTAATTGGCATCGACACGACATTGAATTGTTGATTTTTTTTTTTTTTTTATTTTAATTTATTCGAATGGTTCTTCTTTTTATTTTTATTTTTTTTTTTATTTTATTTTTATTCGAATACTTTTAGCTAGTCAAAATTGAACATGTCATGTATTTAGATTATTTTTAGAAATGTTAAGAAGGTATTTGGTTAATTGAGATAATTGTAAGAATTATATTTACGATATTATATTTTTTTAAATATTTTTAAGATTTATAGAATAGAAAAGCAAGATGAAAACGAGATAATTATAATACAATTATTAAATAGAATTTATCGATCGTTAAACAAATCCCAAACTACTCAGGTTTATATTATTATCATTGTCATTTTTCAAGAATATTCTTATGTACTTTATCATTCACAAATATTTATAATAATTGTTATACGATGTACTACGAGCATAAAAACTGCCATTTGTACAGATACAATATTATTAATAATATATTATTGTTAATATATAAATATAAATTATTTATATATGTTAAATGTGAAAAATTATATTATACTTTATCGTATTTTAATTTAAAATAAAAATGAATAAAAAAATGTTGTATTTCCATCTCGTATTATTAATTGAAATTATTAGGTCCAGTCATAAGTAAATTCCAATGCGTCTACGTAGAATCTATTTTTCGTATTTATCTACTACTAGGGGTTCCCCGCCACGAGTTGCTGTGGCTCACAATCAGTCCGATCTACACGTTTTTAAATCAACGAATTACCTTATACCGCCATTTGTTAGAATCTTATCGAACTAACAGAGATAATAATGCCCCTTTGTTAATAAATTCGCAATAAAGTAATATTGCAATTATAAATTGAGATATAAACTATCCTATCTTTCAAGTTGGATGAAACTGCACACAGTGTGCAAAATTTGATTAAAATCAGTTCAGTTGTTTAGGAGTCCATTGCGAACAAACAACGTGACACGAAATTTATATACGGATTTTCGATATCACTATATAGATGAGAATTCAGTTAGTCTTCTGTCAACTTTTTTATGCAGTCAATGTTACATTTAACCGTTTTTCTTAACCACTGAAATGGATAATAGTAAAAAGTGCATATTCGACATGTAATGCTTTA